GATAAGCAGGGGGAGCCCCAGACAGAGGGAGAAGCAGGCTCCCCACTGAGCAAGGAGCCCGATGTGGGGCTCCAACCCAGGACCCTAGGATCATGACCTGAGCCAAAGGCAGAAGCTTAACCTACTGAGCCACCGAGGCGTTCCAGTCATAAATATTTTAATGACTTTAAGAGGAAAATTTAGTCTATTATACTTACACAGATATTTATCATTTCTGTTGCTTTTATTTGTGTAGTTCCAAGATTCCTCTGATAACACGTCTCTCCAGCCTTTCATGATGTTTCTGATGACGGTTCTTTTCTTTCAACACTTAAAGATGGTGGTCTACTGTTTTCTGGCCTCTGCTGTTTTTGGGGAGAGATCTGCAGTCATTCGTTCCATAAATGTAATCTCTTGATCTTCTTCTGGCTGTATTTTTTTAAGGCATTGTCTTTGTTTTGCTTTGTTTTGTTTTTCAGCAGTTTGATTATGTTGTGTTGAGTATTTTTTTTCTTCAAGTTTATCGAGTTTGGGGCTCATCTGAGCTTCTTGAATTTGTAAATTTGTGTGTTTCATTAAATTTGGAAAATTTTCAGCCATTATGTACTCAAATACATTTTCTTTCTGCATCAATCTTTTTCTCCTTTTCTTCTGGGACTCCAAGGTAGTGAATGTTAGACTTTTGATATTGTCCTAAAGGTTCCTAAGAGTTTGTTCTTTTTTCAATCGTGTTTTCTCTCTGTTCTCAGACTGAATGATTTCTCTGAAACTATCTAAAAGTTCCTGACCCTGTCCTATGTCATCATCATTCTGCTATGAAGCCCACCTAATGAATCTTTCATGTCATGTATTACATTTTTCAGATCTAAAGTTTCCACTTGGTTCTTTTTAATAAAAATTTCTATTTCTCTGCTGAGAACTTCTATTCTTTTATTCATTTTAATATTATTTACCTTTACAGGGTGGTTTTGGAGCATGGTTATAGTAGCTGTTTTAAAGTCATTATCTGATCATTCCAACACCTGAGTCATCTTGGGGGTGGCAGTGAGTGATTACCTTTTCCCTTGGGAGTTGATCAGATTTTTTTCCCCCAGTTTTTATCATGTTGAACAATTGGGGCTTGTATCCTGGATATTTTGAATAGGAGTGGGCAGTCTGACCCACATTCTGTGGACTGTGAATCCAATGTCAGTTCAGTTTTCAGCACTTTTGCTCTGTTATTTGGGTGTTCCCGCACATGTGCCACTTAGGGATTCATCTGGAGCTTGGCCAGGCCTCAAAGCCTTTGATACACTTTGGGTCTGTTCCACACACATGCACCTCAGACTTGTATTGATTCAGACATAGAATTAGGGAATCCATTTCTTCAATTCTCTGTTCTCTGGGATCACCCCCCTTGAGATGGTCATATGATTTTTATCTTTTATTCTATTAATGTAGTATATCACATTTGTTGATTTACATAGGTTGAACCATCTTTGTATCCCAGAGATAAATCCCACTTGGTCATAGTGTATGATCCAGTTAATGTGCTGTTGAATTTAGTTTGCTAATGTTTTGTTGAGAGTTTTTGTGTCTACATTCATTAGGGATACTGGTTTGTAGTTCCTTGTAGTGATCTTATCTGACTTTAGTATCAGGGTAAGGCTGGCCTCATAAAATGAGTTTGGGAGTGTTCCCTCCTCTTCAATTTTTTTTGGAAGAGTTAGAGAAGAATTGGCATTGATTATTCTTTAAACATTTGCTAGATTTCACTAGGGAAAGCCTCTGGCCCTGGGCTTTTATTTGTTGGGAAGTTTTCTATTCTGACTCAATCTCCTTACTTGTTATTGGTCTGTTCAGATTTTCTATTTCGTCATGGTTCAGTCTTGGTAGGTTGTATGTTTTTAGAGCTTTATCCATTTCTTTTCGGTTATACAAGTTATTGGTATGTAATTGGTCATAGTAGTCCCTTATGATCTTTTCTGTCTCTATGATATCAGTTGTAATGTCTCCTCTTTCAATTCTGATTATATTTCTTTTAATCTTGTCTCTTTTCCTCTTAATCTAGCTAAAGTTTGTCAGTTTTGTTTATCTTTTCAAAAAACCAGCTCATCGTTTTGATTTTTTTCTCTTGTTTTCTGGTCTTCATTTCACTTATTTCTACTCTGATCTTTGTTATTTCCTTCCTTCTGCTAGCTTTGGGCTTAGTTTTTCCTACTTTTTAGTGTTCCTTGAGGTATAAAGTTGGATTCTTTATTTGAGATCTTTCTTTTTCTTAATGTAGGCATTTGTCACTATAAACTCCTCTTTTATTTTATTTTTTGTTTTTATTTTTTTGGGGGAGAGAGAGTGCACACTTGAGTGAGTGGGGGATTGGGGGCAAAGGGGGAGGGAGAGAGAAAGAATCTTAAGCAGGCTCCATGCTCAGTGTGCAGTTCAATGCGGGGCTTGACCACATGACCCTGAGATCATGACCTGAGCCGAAATCAAGAGTCAGACGCTTAACTGACTGAACCACCCAGGTGCCCCCAAACTTCTCTTTTAGAATTGCTTTTGCTACATGGCCTAAGTTTTGGGATTTTGTGTTTTCCATTTTCATTTTTTCTTTCCTTTGTATTTTTTAAATTTTCCTTCTGATTCTTCTTTAACCCACTGTTTGCTAAGGAGTATGTTGTTTAATGTCCACATATTTGTGAATTTTCCAGTTTTCCTCCTCTTAGTGATTTCTAGTTTCATACCATTGTGGTCAGAGAAGATACTTGGAATGATTTCAATCTTCTTAAGATTTCATTTCATTTAATCTCAATTTCAGTCTTACTAAGACTTGTTTTGTGACCTATAATATGATCTACCCTGGGGAATATTCTGTGTATGCTTGAGAAGAATGGATATTCCACTGCTATTGGATGGAAAGTTTTGTATATATCTGTTAGGCCCATTTGGTCCAAAGTGCAGTTCAAGCCCAATGTCTCCCTATTGATTTTCTGTCTAAATGATCTATCCAGTGTTGCAATGTGGGTATTAAGGTCCCCTACTATTATTGTATTATTGTCTATTTCTCCCTTCAGATCTGTTAGTATTTGCTTAATATATTTAGGTGTTCTGATGTTGGTACATTTATATTTATGATTGTTATATCTTCTTGATGAATTGATATCTTTATCATTATTTAATGACCTTTTTTTTGGTCTCTTGTTACAGTTCTTGGCTTATAGGACCTATTTTGTCTGATATAAATACAGCTACCCCTGCAGTGTTTTGGTTTCTATTTACAGGGAATATCTTTTTCCATCCCTTCACTTTGGGTCTATGTGTGTTCTTTAAGCTGAAGTGAGTCTCTTATAGGCAGTGTATAGTTGGGTCTTGTTTTTTTAATCCAGGGATGGCTATTTTAATTCACCCTAGATAGTCTGGCTCTTCTGGTGTTGCCACCTCTCCTCCTCTCACCACAGCTTCTTTATTGAGAAAGCTTTGAGTCCTCTTGGGGCTGGGTAATCAATTTGGTGCCACACTCAATTCTCTGCTATGTTTCTTCCACAGAATCTGTGACTCAAAACTGGACATAGACCTTAGATCCTCTTCCCCTTGGGATAAATTCTAGGACTTCCTAAGGCAGCCATTATCAGCGTGTGTGTGTGTGTGTGCACGTGCACACACATGTGTGTAGTATTGTCAACATCTTTCTAATAATAAACCTTCACATCATCTAAGTCAAAGGGGACCCAGAGGTCTTCATGTAAATAGGTACCCCTCCAGTTCCTGGGGTGGGCATGCAAGAGCAGCCTGAGTATGACCTTGTGACACACAGTTATATAGATTGTATCATGTAGAGTTTTATCTTCCATTTTCCCCACCCTCATTGCTTGTACACGGTCCTTTTTGGCCTGGTTTGCTTACCTCTGTTTGTGCAGATTCTAATCTTCCCAGAGGATGTGGAACTGTTATTACAGTGATGTTTTAGGATCCATATGGGTGAGGGTGCTCTGAGTATATACCCCATTGTGGAAGTGACAGTTTGAGTGAGGAAGCAGGTAGACCTCCATTAGCATTCTCCTGTAACCCAGGAGCTCCTGTGAGCTGTGATGGAAAGAGTAGTGTAGGGATGGTTACACACCCAGAGAGGAGCCATTTCAACTCCCTTTGTGAGTGGCCTTTGCTGGCACCTCTGCCATTGGCTATTCCTCAAGTCGGGGAGGTTTCTGCTCAGGAAGGAGGGAACAGGTATGGAAGAATTTCCCTTTTTATTGTTCCGGAGCTGTTAGCTCAAAGAGGGGAGCATTTGTATGCTGGTCACAGGCCCAGGCAGATGGAAACTTTCTGAAGCACCTGTTTTCCAGCTGTTGGCACCCCCTATGGAGGCCAGAAGGGATGTGAGTAGATATAAAAAATTCCACAAACTCTGTTTAGGATGTTAGTAAGTAGCCAAATAGAATACTTGTTTAAACAAAACCAGTGCCCAGGGAAATTTATATATATGTCACATTTTGCCCAGTGTGCATGTATTAATCTTGTAGTTGAAGGAGTGAATTGGTATTAACCTGATATGATGCTATATTCAAGTTCCCTAGGCCTATTTTCCATTTGGAGTGAAATCAAGAAAATTAGGACATGAGCCTTGATCCTTTTTTTGTTCTGTATCTTGTAAAAGACAAACCTCTTGTGTTTTGGGATGATATCATTTTCTTTTTGGGAGAAGAGTATGAGATTAGTATTCGTCTCTCACCTTTAAGTCCGGCTTTTGATTTAATTATCCCATAGAAGTAATCTTTTAGTAGGACTTTCTATCATAGCTTTAATGTCATTTCTGATTTTGCCTATGTGGACAGGGCCTGCTGTTCCTCCAAGTGTTCAGTTAGGATGACTTACGAGAACAAAGTGGGGGAAGTGGCATGGGATATCATTCCAATGCCATTTGTGCTATCAAATAATGATGGCTCTTTTCTAGAAACACATAATTACGTTTGGAATTCATGATAACATTCTCCTGTATTTCAAAATCCAGACCATAAATAGATAAAATATCAGAGGAAGGAAAATGCTTTTGATGTGTCAGAATTCATTTATTTTCCAAGTTGTAATGCTTTGTCTTACATATGTGAATGAGCATTTATCAAAATATAAGAAGGTTATTATTCAAATATTCCATTCTGAACATTTGTCCAAATTCAGTTTAATATGGCCTATTAACATGAAGAATGTTGAGAAAGGATCCCAAGTAGATTTTAGGGGGTGATTAGAAAACTAAATTAGGCTTTGTTCCTAAATATTTAAAAAATATTTACTTAAGTTATAAAAGTAATACATGAAAAATATAAATATAAAAAACAAAAAAGCAAACAGTATGTTCTTAAATACTTAATAACATTGGCTTGAAAATCCCTCTTCTGTAGGAAATTTGGGAATGTGTCTTTTCATGGCTAATACCCTTAATTTGGCAGTTTTTATAGTAAAATAATTTGGCAGCTACCCATTAAAATATATAATTTATTATTTAGGATTTGCTTTAAAATATTTTGCATGTGGCTGCTCTCTTTAGTAAGAGGGAGATTTATAATGCAGTTTTCTAAAGTGTAGCACTTCTTTTCTGCTCATTAACTTGTCTGTTTTTATGCTTTGCCTTGTTGAATCAATAATGGTGGGGCTTTATTGTTTATTCCACATGTGTCTTATCTTCCCAGCTAAAGTGTGAGCTTGAATAGTATAAATCTGTATCCTGTATTTTTTGTGTTCGATATTCCTCAAAGGATATCATACACAGTAGGTGCTCAATAATACTTTTCCTTATTGAAGTGCAGGTTAGCATTATATTAGTTTAAATTTGCCACATGAGGACATGGCCCCTAATGTTGCTCTTGGGGAGGGATGGTGGTGGTATAAATCTTTGTTATCTTCCGGTTTGCTTGTGGTTTGGCAATCTCAAAAGAATAAAGAAATTCCAGTTAATTGAAAATGCTAATTTGCACCTTCAGTCCAGGGTTTCATTTTATGAATATTTTCTTTGGAGTGTTTATCTGAGTATTTCAATTTGAATGAGGGGGTGAAAGACAAAATTGCTATTTCTGTATGCTTCTCTCACCTGTCCCATTCTGCTTTATACACATATGGCCATTTATGCAGAATGGTTTCACCATTTCCTTCTCTTCTGATGATAGGCACTGATTACTAGGGTAAACTAGGGTAGTTTTTCCTGAGCCTGGACACTTCTCAGGTATTCCCAGACATTCACCTACTCATGCTTCCAACAAGCGTGTGCTGATCACCCATTAAGTGGCAGGCATCCTACAGCCCCAGAACTAGAGTGGGGACAAGACAAACATACCCTGGCCCTCTGGGACTTGTATTGTTGGACTCTGTCAAGATCCTAAATACACTCCGTTGTAGGGAGGATGTGAACTGCTTAAAGTCGGGTGCTGTCAGAGGTAAGATTGGACCTCTTCAGACTGATCCACCGAGTAATTGTCTTACTCTTCACTTGACTTAGACTTAATTTGGGTTACATAAATAAATACAAAATGAAGTTGACTTTTCCAACCTAGGGAGAAAAATGCTTTAATGTTATTTAAAAAATAGAAAATTACATATAAATTATGTATCTCACATGAGAGTTTCTTGTGTGAGAGCTTTTTGGGAAGAATTATAGTTCCCTACAATTCTAAGTAACCTACAAAAAAACTATTGAAGTTTTTTCCATGGAAGTTGATACTGTATTGAGGGTGTCTTGTTTGACTTGTTTGAAATAGGGATGTTTGACTTGTTAGAAACAGAAGAAAATGTGACCACAGTTTCAAGGACAATTCATTATAGCTTGGCAGCAGTCCTTGATAGCTCTTCTGCTATGTTTTTTTGGGTAACATAGATGGAGAAAACAATGAAGATGAAATTTCCAGGAAATAACCCAATCAGGTGTTGCTTAATGGAGTCTACTGTCATTAAAATCCAATTCGATTCATTTGGAGAGTGAAATATCACAATTGCAACTACACCATAATGGCTTTTGGAAGATGGAATTTGTATAAGCTGGGTTAATCCCTTGATCACCAATTCAAATAAAAATAGATAAAACATGAGGAGGTTGGCAGGAGTGAAGGACTGGGAATAGTAATGGTGATGCCAGAAGGTGTCTTTCCTGCCAAAGGGAACTGGCATAGGGAAGAGTCTCTGAGCCCAAATTCTGGAAACCACAAGCTGATGGAGACGGAAGACAGATTGTCCATGTCCAGCCGGGGAGCTGGAGCTCTGCTGGCCCAGCCAGAGCATAAGTGAACCACTGCTCTGACCTCTACGTGTGGCCTTGTGTGCAGAAATTTGCATTTCTTTCCATTTAGGGTCTTGCTTTCTGTTAGCCTGCAAGAAGTTGAATGGCTTGTCATGAATAAGTTATATCTTTGGAAAACACAACAGAGACAGAGTCTCTCTGAGGGGGAGTTACTCCCGGTTTGTAGAAGAGGCCGTTACAATGTATAATTAGAGAGCTGTTCAGTGAATTCTAGCTTTATGCCTGGAAATGGCACCCTGGAGATCTGAAGGGGATAAGAGCTACCAAAAGTCGTAGTAGACTTGGAGGGCATAACTTCGACACAGGCTAGGATAGTGATATTGGCTGGATTTCACTTAATTATGAGACTGTTACCTTGGACTAGAAATACTTTGACAATCCACAATAATTAGCAGGAATTGGGATGAAATTTGTTTCTTCTTGACAAATTCTTCTAAGCTATTACAAGTGAAATGGGATTTCAAGAGCACATTTATATTGTTCTTGATGACAAACTTTTAACTTCCTCACATACAAAAAAATGGCAAAGTATTTACAGTTTTAAAAGGTATTCATTAGAAAAGACCCTACAAGAATTTCTACCAGGCTGTACTTGATTGCCTGTACATTGGGTAGGATGCTTTTGTCTGCAAATTACAGAGTGGTTTAAACAATATGGATATTTTGTCATCTTACATAACAAGATCTGACATAGGGTAACTTCAGGATTGGTTCCAAAAATCAGCACCTCAAAAACATCCCTTGGTCTCATATTCTGTCCATTTTGCCCTTCTCAATGAGCTTGGTACCTTCTCCTGGTACCAAGATGGCTGCCAGAGTTCTGGCATCAAAATGGACATAGCCATGTCCAACTTCTATTGGAATATTCCCCCTTTGTGTTGCTTTTTAGAATAGAGGAAAGACTTCTAGAGACCTCTCAGCTGACTTCCTGTCACATCTCATTGGTGAGGAGTGGATCACATTCCCTTCCTAAGTCAGTTAGTAGTGAGGTGAATGGGATCACACTGACTACGTAGACCTATAGACTAATCAGGAGTTATTCCTGGGTCAAGTTGAGAAAGGTGGGTCTCTGAACAAAATCTTACACATACATAGGTGCATGGCTCTCCAAAAATAGCCAACTGCAGAAGCTGTCCAAAAGCAGATACTGAGATAAAGTTTGGAGTGCAAGATGTTATTAGAGTTCAATTCCTGTGAAGGGAAGGAGGAAGAAGCAGGACTGGGCAGAAGAAGCAGCTGAACTGTGATGCAGGCCTGATAGTGCCTTGGCCAAACCAGGAGAGTTATGGAGCAATTATTTCCCCAGAGTATCCTGCACTGGGTTGAAATGGCCAGGCTTTTATACCTATCTGATAACTCACCAGACGTGGGCTACCAGGTGAGGCTGTTCTGCAGCTGAGGCAGACCTGGAAGGGTGCACTCCCCACAGCTGGGGGATCTGGGTGTTAGATCCCCATGCATACCACGGCCACCAGTGTCTGGTACAGCCCAGTGTGCGCAACTGGATAAGTGTGGGAAAAAAATGTAACTATGGTTTAAAAAAAAGATTCTATAGTCTCTTCTGGCCACTAACCAACACTGTTCCTCTTTCTCTGTTCCCAGCCTCAATTGTTCTGAAGCTACGGGTGTTTTACTGTCTATGGTCACCATGTGTGGATCATGGATGTTTAGAGCTCAAACAGCTCTTCAGTTCACCTATTCAGTTAGAGAACCCAGTAAGCTGGGTTAAACAAGCTAAAACCCACATGAGTTCTGGGACTGAACTTGTAGTAGATGTTTAATGAATTGAATTTGTTGAATTGAACTATTTCAGAATATGAACTGGGGATTAGAACCATGTTCTCCTGACTTCTAATCCAGTGTTTTTTGTCTGACCCATGCTGCTGTGTGTGCTCATGCCTGCAGGCACTCACGGAAGCCCGAGAGACAGAGAGACAGAGACAAAGAGAAAGAGAGTGTGTTCAGGGAGAGACAGAGAGACTGAGAGAAAGAATTCAAACAGTTTCAGTCAGGCAGTCCAGGATTTTATGTTATCATATATACTTATAAGGGAAGTCAGGCAAATCAGAAATATTTGAAGAATTAGAGACAGCTTTACCTGGTATTCAAATAGGTTTCGTTTTATGGGCTGTATTTAGGTCATAAACTCAAATTTAGGTGGGACAGTAGCTACTAAACCTAGCAGATTATTGCCATGGGACAATGCAGACCAGGTGGGCTTGATCTTCTGCTTTCTCATGAAAAGCTGAAGATCTGGAATTTTTTTCAGTGGTATCTCCAAGATTTTTAATGCTGATTCAAAAATTTTTGATTACTATGCTGGCCAACTTGAAACATGCTAGTTTGCAGACTCGAATCCAGTGGTTCACAATCAAGGGCAATTTTGCACCACCAGGTGACATGTGACAGTGTCTGGATTTATTTTTGGTTGTCACAGTGGAGTAGGGAATGCTGCTGGCATCCAGAGGCCAGGGATGCTGTTACACATCCTACAATGCACAGGACTTTCCCCACAGCAAAGAATGATCCAGTCTAAAATGTTGATAGTGTTAAGGTTGAGCAACTCTGCTTAGTATGTTAAATGCGAAAAACAGAAACTGACTCTTTTTCACTGGGATATCCTATTTGAAAGTTGGCAGCTTGGACCTGCCTAAGAACAGGGAAACAAAAATCTCAGGGCTTCAAAATTAATGCCTTTTAAAATGATTACTGAGGTGCCAATGGCCAACTAAGCATATGAAAAGATGGTCAACATCACGAATTATCAGATAAATAAGAATCAAAACCACAATAGATACCTCCTCACACCCATTAGGATGGCTGCTATTTAAAAACAAAGTAACAAGTGTTGGCTGGGATGTGGAGAAGTTGGAACCCTTGTGCACTCTTGGTGGGACCAAGATGGTACAACTACTATGGCAAACAGTGTGGCAGTTCCTCAAAAAATTAAATTAGAACTACCATATGATCCAGCAATTCTACTTCTGGGTATATATCCCAAAGAACTGAAAGAAGGGTCTTAAAGAGATATTTGCACACCCATATTCATAGCAGCATTATTCACAATACCCAAGTGTCCATTTATGGAAGCCACCCAAGTGTCCATTTATGGATGAGCGGTTAAAGAGAATGTGGTCTATACCTACATGAATCCTACACAGCCTTAACAAGGAAGGAAATCCTGCCACATGTTACCATGTAGGTGAATCTTGAGGACACTATGCTAAGTGAAATAAACCAGTTAGAAGGACAAAAACAGTATCATCCCACTTACATGAAGGTACCTAAAGTAGCCAAATTCATAGATATAGAGGGTAGAAAGATGGTTTCCAGGGACTAGGGGAGTGGGGGAGGGAACTTATTGCTTAATGGTATAGAGTTTCAGTTCTGCAAGAGGAAAAGGTTCTGGAGATTTGTTTTATAACAATGTAAATATACCTAAGACTACTGAACTATACATCTAAAAATGGTTAAGATGGTAAATTTATGATATGTATTTTTTAGCTACAATAAAAGAAGGTGACGGAGCTGAAAAATAATCCACCAATAAAAATTCTAATCTCATTGTATGTGAAATTGGTTATGCCAAGATTATTTTTGAAAAACAAACACAAAAGCGCATCATTTGTAGAGACTCAAGGCACATTTTTCTTTGCATTTCAACAGAGAAACATCTAAAGCATGAGTCCTCTGGTTGAATGACAGGTGGTCAAAATTACAGGGGTTATCAGGGCTTTTAGCCTCCCAGACCCCTCAGGGTCCAGTGTTCTGAGGAACTCATGTGATCAGATCACCCAAGAGTCTCCTGCTCTGAACAGCTGGTGGGATGATTCCTCCTTTCTGGTGGAAAGAAAAACTATCATTGTTGTGTATCCCTCCTCACTCTATGGCAAATGATACTAACTCTATGCTCGGAGACTTCCAGAATTTGGCTTTTGATATGAAAACCAAGATTTTAGAATTCTAAAGTCTCTCTCTCTCTAAAAAATTTTTTTAAAAAGAATTTTCTTTAAAGATTTTATTTATTCATTTGAGAGAGAGAGACAGAGAGAGAGCACACAAACAGGGGGAGAGGCAGAGGGAGAGGGGAAGCGGACTCCCCGCTGAGCTGGGAGCCCAACATGGGGCTCAATCCCAGGACCTGGAGATCATGACCTGAGCCGAAGGCAGATGCCCAACCATCTGAGCCACCCAGGCGCCCCTCTAAAAAATTTCTGCTATGTGTCTAAAATACCTACTCTGCAATCAATTTTTTGTAGACAGTGAATTTAGGAGGCTATTCCTTTTGCCTGAGTGAGGGGAGAGGAAGGTGGGGTAGAGGGGAGCATTTCATTCCCATACTCATGTTGTCTCCTTTGCCCTACTGTGAGCTCCTTGAGGCAGGGTTTATGTTTCATTTTGTGCCACGAGGCTTGGCTGGCCCATGCCCCAGTAGGAGCCACCAAGAAAGTGTTTGAATCAAGGAATAAATGAATGAGGGGGTGACTTGACCTCTTTGTTTCTTCCCACCTCTCAAATAGGGTTAACAATTCTTAGGGGTGACCACAGGCAAAATTGTGACCTAAACTAAATGGTCCTTTGGGTGACCCATTTTCTTCCCCTATTGAAAATTGCTCTCAGGAGATGCTCACCTGTGGTTTTGCCCCGCATTACACACTGGTCAGTGGGTTACCTTTCCAAAGGCTATTTGCTTCTTAAGCCTTATTTGCATTGTGGAATGGAAGGGCTCTTTGTGAGAGGCATTTTCAGGTGCAGTTTGTCGGGAGGGATTCTCTGAGGCTGGCGGTCCCATCCTGGGCCCCCAGATGCGCTGAGTACATAATCTGCTTTGCTTACTCTGAAGGCTGGCCCTGATAATCCCGGCTCCACCTGCATCACCAGGCTGTCAGGAGGATAAAGTGGGATGATAGATGGAAGAGCACTTTGAAAAGTTAAAAGCTCCTCACAAACGCAAATTGTTATTGTAATTAATCCACAGTGTCAGGCACTCTTCTTGAAGAGTCCCATCCCCCCAGGAGACAGGATACTGGGGGGGGAGGATTTTGAAGGAGGTACCATTTATAGGTTTCTTGTTCTTAGAGCAACAAAATTTCCCCTCCCTCACCAGTGTGCACTGAGTGAATAGGATGAAAAGTTGTTTTTAAAATCAGCATGGATTAGAGGCTCCCCCCACAAAGCCTCTAAAAACTGTAAACTTTGTTTTGTCATGTTCGTTGCCAAATGACAGGGAGCCAATAGCCTTAATTTTTCTCTCTGTTCCCACATCTCTTTCTCTACCCTCTCACCCCCCTTGATTATTTTAGAACAAGTCTCAGCTTGGAGTTGATCTTCGACTTCTGGAAAGGGGAATTGGTTCCTACGTATTTGGCTTAGCGGAGTGAGAGGAGAAGGGCTTGCTTCTGTAGGAAAAAGAGAGGGGTGCAAGCTGGGGGGTATCTGGGGAACTGTGGGGAGACAGGGGCCTTGGTGCAAGTTTGAGCACTCTCTCCCTTGGCCTGCACTTCTGTCTTCTGTTTACAGGTCGTCAGCCCTTCCTGGCTTGGGAGTGGGGGCAAGTCTGGAGAGACAGCTTGAGGCCTTCGGTCCTGGGTCTGATTAGGATTCTGACTGCTGGTCAGATTTCATTAAATACGAGGCCAATTGCTGGAAAATAAATCATGAAGCAGGCAAGAGGTGGCTGGTGGTGATTCGTTGTCGTAGAGGAAGGTAGCTGTTTCACCTTTTTCAGGTGGAAGGGGGGGAAGGTCCTGCTGTCTTTCCCTCATTGCTGGCTGTTTTCATCCTTTTCTTGGGGGAGGCTTGTCCATGCTGGAGTATTAGCTAGAGGCCATGTGTTGGCTGGAGTTCCTGGGACCAGGTTGGGCAGCACAGGAAAACCCTGGATGGGGGTCATTAAGATCCCATCTTCTGCCCTCACAGACAGCAGACAGGGTGAGCACCACTGTTTCTTGAGAGCAGCCCCAGCTGTGAAGGGCCTCTCCTGGCAGCTGCCTGGGGATGTGGGCAGGCCGGGGAAGCATGGCTTTGTTTCTGTGTGAAGCATAGGAAAAACTATCTTCAGAACCTTCAAGGGTTTTGCTGAGCATTTACAGAATGTGACTTCTTTTCTCTTGTTCTTCCCATTTGAGTGAAAAGCTCTTTCTCCCTTGTCCTTCCCATCCAAATTCAACTCACCCTCCAGGGCTTTGCTCAAATCTTACTTTCTCCCGTGCTTCTAGAACAGTCTTGTCTTTGTTTCATGAACACCCAGAAGCCTGTTTATAAGTAGGCTCTTGATTATCTGAAATTACATATATGGTGACACTTGTGAATTTATTTTTCTCTTACCAGTTTATTATGTATGTCTTAAGCATTGCTCTCTGACTGTAATGGTTCATTCTTGAAATGGTTCATTTCTTTAGGACAAACGATATGCCCCATTCCTTTTATATACCTTCCAATTCCAAACTTTACACTGAACATTGTAAGCATTCTAAAACCCATTACTTTCTTTTTTCTTTTGTCAATACAATTTATGTGAAATGAAGAGTACAGGTATTGGGAAGGAAGATGTACTCTCAAGAGTAGATGAGGTCCTAAGACAGTCTCTCCTGCATGGATGTGTCTTTACTTCCTCATCCAGCACCAGTGGTAGGCATCAGTAATAGATTAGCACACACTTCTCAGTCTGACAGATCTTTTCAGGCACTATAAATCAATAAGAGCTGGCTCAATGCTCTGAAGCATATGTGGGGAGCATGGGGGCTTCTTTGCAATTCTTACCCTCCATTTCTCTTTCTTCTCTGAAATGGCCCAAGTAAGTAAGATTCATGATGCAGCGGGGTAGTCAAAGGGCAGGCGGATGTCTTGGGCATGAGAGATAGCCCTTGAAAATTTTGCCGCACTGGGGGAATTGGATAATCATGCTCGGATAGTGGTCATGCAGGAAGGCGAATAAAATGGCAGTTTGTCCCCATAGCATTCTAATACACAGGAGTCCAGGTCTCACATTCTTATTTCCTGGTCCAGGTGTGACATCATGTAAGGAGATTTTACATTTTGCTGTTTTCCTGTAGGTACAATCAATGCTGTGATTGTTTTTCTCTATCCCAATTCATACCTGGATCTCTAAGATTTTCATATTAAGAATTGTTTGAAGAAATTAATGTTAAAATGCTACCAGTGTTCACTTCCCTGGGGTGTAATAGAGGCTGCTGGTGCCCCCTGAGATCTTTTTAAGTGCCCACAGCCCAGCCTCACTTCACTTGCTTCCAGGCTGACACCAATGGTCTTCACAAGATGCCCTGGGGCCACTGGAATTGCATCAATCCCAGCAGGAAGAGCCAGAATGCCTGGGGGTTGACATCCACTCTGAGGTGGCTGGCAGCAAGGAACTGACTATGTGGGAATAAGAAGGCCCAGCACCCTTGCCTGGGTGTGAGATGATTTGTGCTCCAGAACACCCATGGATCAGGCTGAGGCTGAGACTTGGGGTCACTCTCGTGCTCAGGTCTTTCCCTGGTCTCTTCCTGCTTCCCCCACTTCCTTCTCCTGGGAACACTTCATTGATGTATTACTGGCAAGTGAGTCATGGTCTCAAGGTCTGATTGTGCGAACCTGATTTAAGATGAGGGCAGCTTGAGGGTGCCTGGGTGGCTCAGTCGTAAAGCGTCTGCCTTCGGCTCAGGTCATGGTCCCAGGGTCCTGGGATCAAGCCCCGCATCAGGCTCCCTGCTCCGCGGGAAGCCTGCTTCTCCCTCTCCCACTCCCCCTGCCTGTGTTCCCTCTCTCACGCTGTCTCTCTGTGTCAAATAAATAAATAAAATCTTAAAAAAAAAAAAAGATGAGGGCAGCTGAGAGACTTGGTGGTGGCAGCGAAAAGGTTAGAGATGAGGGATAATCCCAATCATGGTTAAAATAAAACTTCACTGAGTCTTGATCTGGCGGCACACAACCTATGTGTACATCACAGTGGGATGAGGAGTATCTGTTTACCCAGCAATGCTTGGTAGTTAGTAGTGTCAGGCTGAGCCTGCTAGTGGTCTAGAGAGGAAGATTCCAGATTAGGGCTGAGAATCTGGGTGGGAAACAGTCAATTTATGTAGTTCAAGTTAAATCACTTCTGGAAGACTAAGGGTTGGTTGTAGTTGAGTGTCTGTTTCCGGGATTGAAAGTTGGCATCAGCTATGGAGATGTCATGTTGGCCTCCATGGGCAGAGGGGAGATTTTGCCTGGTCCTCGATCTATTGCTCTCTGGACACCAAGGTGAAAGGACTCAGCCTTTGAGGGTAAATATTTTCTTCCTTTAAGGAAAATTCAAGTTCGCAGCTTTTCATATTCAAAGAAGACAAAGACAGGGCGCCTGGCTGGCTCAGTCGGTAGAGCATGTGACTCTTGATCTTGGGGTCATGAGTTCAAGCCCCATGTTGGGCGTGGAGCCTACTTAAAAAAAAAAAGAAGAAGACAAAGACATATATTAATTTCCCAGAAATTCTAAGTTGAGATGAAAAAACTTATCTGTCTTGGTTAAGCAGTTTTTTCTTTCCTCCTTCCACCACCCTTTAAAAATTTTTTTTTAACACTATCATATGAGTCAGAATGGGTGTATCACTTTTAATTATTGTTGATTACCATTCATGTTGGAACAGCTACCTTGTAACGCCATCTCCTATCAGGAAATAAATGCCGGTTTAGTGACCTGCGTGAGATAGCTGGTGACCCATCCCACTGGGGAGATGGCAGGCAGCCGTCTGGCGCTTGTTGAATTAAGAAGTGTGACTACAGTAATTAGCAGCGAGTTTCCAGTCCAGGATAGAGTAGATTCGGGGCAGAGCACAGTTGTCTTACAGGTTGACCTCCGGGCGAGAGAAATGAGCGATTTAGGATTGGGGCCTGGAGGGGTGGTGAGGGGGTCACGAGAAACAAGGTCAATAGCAAAAACCAATTTGACATCCCTGAGCTTGTAATAGGATTTACCCTAGGCTTGCAGACCTTGGAGTTGTCGCCTATGCAAAAGCTCGTTGATAGTTCTGCAGCCCAGGAGTGTGTACTTGGGACCAGAGGAGTTAAGTCTTGACTGCTTTGCCTCTAGTATGTGCTTAATGGAACACAAACAAAAAGGAAGAGACACAGTGTTAAAATAGAACTAGGCCACAGATTGAAATGATACATGATTACTAGCAGTTGTACAATTTATGGGAAAAATGTGCACACAGGTCTTTTAGGAAGTGTAAATAAAACAGATGGATTTATGGAGGGGGGAAGTATGCTTCACACACCCAGCTCCTATATCAACAAATGTTGCCCTCAAGGTAAAATTTTTTAAAAAGTTCTAAGCTTGTATTAGTCACACCCATTTATTTTTGGCATAATTTGTGCACTATTTGGAAGTTGGCAAGAACGGGAATGTTAGGGCCAACATTTGGTCTTGCTTCAGGAGTTTCTATGAATATGAATGCCTGAAGTTTACATAGGCTTATGCCATCTCCATAGAAACGCATGTTTGTTGTGAAAATCTAGCCTTTTAAATTCAAGAATCTGTATGTTATCCTCAAATTCAACACACTATCTAATTCTGGTGTTTTAAAACACTTTTAGGACTGTTGCATGTTCAATAATGGATCAGATCGGAGGGTGAGTTAATGGGTGTCCTTGGAAGCACACACACATACCACACACACACACACACACACACACTCACACACAATCATACTCACTGTGAGGGGAAGCCCTTGCTTATGGCAGTTAACCTTAGCATGCCCCCAAATGGAGCCAGATGAGAACTTCAGATCATGGAGCAGCCCAGGGGATCTGAGAGTCCAGTCTGAAGCACCAAAAGAGAAATGGACGACTGATTGTGCTTTTTCCCCCGGGTGTTTAGAACTTGGAGAGCTTGGGAGTACCCATTAGGCTGGCTCTGGTCGTTCAGAGCCTGAGGGGTAAAGCAGGAGCTGCGTGGGTGCTGGCACAAATGAGGCAGAGCAGCCCAAATCTTTATATCAGCCCGAGGCACAGGGACTCATCTCTGCAGCTCCATCTCTGTTGGGTCTTTGTGTGGTGGGCCACTGTGCTTTCCCCTAATGGGATTCCTGGTGGAATTTTAGATACTAGTCATGGTTAAGAACTTAAGTATATTTACTGGTTCCCTCAGTGTAAATAGCTGGCTTTTGGCAAAATTGGACACCAAAAAAAGGTGTCCCATTTGTCCATAGCCTCTGGGTTCTGATATCCTGCTTCTTTTTGGTCATGCCCTTTCCTATTCGCAGTGCTTCCCAAGGGTCCTCAAACTCTCCCCCCTTCTCCCCAAACTGGCTTCAGAACTGGATAATGTCCACTCTTTTATTCTGCTGTGTAAGAGGGGAGTGCTTTGGAGAGAGCAGTGGGTTTAGAACGAGGACTGGGTTCGATATTATAATCTTCTTAATAGTGGCATGTCCATGAACTGTTCGTGGCAACTCTTAAGTCCTCCATTTTGTTGTAAAGAAGAAAATAACTCCTGCTGTAATGAGATAATGGATGTGACAGAGCTTTGAAAAATTCTCAAATCTTATTCAAATGCAGGTCTGTTACTACCAATTTAGTAAGGAATGGCAAATAATTTTCCACATGCATCCCAACTTTGCCCAATTCGTGGTAGCTGCTTGGGGTGCTGTGCTGAGGATTCGGAGATGATCTCACAGGGAGGAGTGCTGAGATTGATTAGTGATGTCTGTCACTGGCACAGGGAGGCAGGAAGGGTGCCCTAGAGTGTCAAGTGTTGGCCTTCCTGGGCCCATTCCTTCTCAAGAGGGATAGACAATATGAAATAAGGGGATAAACCTTTATGGTAAAATTTCAGATATTGGTGCATTTGAGGAAGTAGATTCTTGATGTCCAGAATCAAGCATGTGTATAGTTCTGACTTGGTCTGTGGCAGAGAATTCTCGTGTTCTTTCCCAAGGCCCTTCCCCTCGTTGCCTGTTAGGGAGATGCTAATATGTGAGGCTAGCATCTCATCTTCCTTTTCTGTTGCTCTGTTGCTCATATTGTCTCTTTTATACATTTTGACATTTGGAGAAGATTCAATTTAGCACCTGGCTCTTTGTTGTCCTGTCTTGACCTCTAATGGCTTATTTTATTTTTACTGAGGTATAATTGATATATAACATTACATTAGTTTCAGGTGCACAGCATAATGATTTGATATTCAGATATATTGCAAAGTGATCACCACAGTAAGTCTAAATAACATCCGTCACCATACATAGTTACAAAATTTTTTTTCTTGTGATAAGAACTTTTAAGGTCTACTTGCTTACCAATTTTCAAATATGCAATACAGTATTATTAACTATAGTCACTATGCTGTACATTTCATGTGATTGCATGTCTGTAAAGTAATATAAACTAATGGTCTTTAACTATATGTAAAGATTCATCTGGGAAACTGTAAATTGTTTGAGGGAAAGGACAGTGTTCCACATTTCCTCTTCTTTTGATTCCTGGTCTAGTGTAGGATACATAATAATTAGCAAATTCTGAATTGATCATTACGTTTTTTTCTGATTATACGTGTAATATTAATTTTGGAAAATTTGAAAAATAAAAAGGCACAAAAAATTAAGTAAAAATAGGTCATAACATCATAACTAGAGTTAACTACCACTACTATTCCATGTGTTTCCTGACAGCCTTTTTTTCTATGTGCATATTTAGATATAAATTTTAACATAGTGGAGAGTATACTCTCTATATAATTATGTAATCTGGTTTTTCCTTTTATAATACATTATAATTACTTCTCTGAATCTTTAAATGAGTCTTGACAAATGTTAAGATGCTTAAATTTTAATTTTTAAAACTTCAACTATTTATTAGTGACTTAAATAGTAATATCTGTTCATTGTCAAAAAACCCTTGACAGGTGTAGAAAGATATGGAATGAAAAGTAAACATCCTTTTTCCCTGCGTCTGCCTTATCCCCTCACTTCCTGTAACCCCTTTCAAACAACTTCTTAGGTCTCCTTCCTGACATTAGTTTTACATTCATAGGCATATAAAACATGTTTCATATTACTCATACCCCTTTTCAACATTATTTTTGGACTTACCATGTCTTGGACATCTTTTATATTACTGCATTCAAATCCACCTTACTCTTTTAAAATGCTACAAGGTATTCCATCTTATGGAAACCTCATCTTTAGCCACACTCTTATTAATAGCTATTTATGTGGCTTCCATTTTTTTGCTATTATAAACAATGCTGTATCGAACATCTGTTCACATATATTTCTGTGCACAAGTGTGAGTGTTTATGTAGGATTAATTCCTGGAGGAAATTCTGGGTTAAGGGGAAGGCTCACATGTAAAATGTTAAAGGATATAGAAAAATTGCCCTCCAAAAATGATTGGTTATCCATTTACATCTCACTAGCTACACATAAGCCTTCAGGTTTCTCACTCCCTTATCAATAATGAGATCGAAAACAAACAAATAAGCAAACAAACAGGAAGCTCATTATTATTGAGGCTGTACATTTATCCACACATTTATTCCTTATTCTACAAAATTCTGTTTGTGAACTTTGCACATTTTCTATCATGTTACAGGTAAGTTTCTTATTGATATGTTCTATATCTTTAGACAGTAAGGAAAGTAGCTGTTTGCCATAGGTAGTAGAAGAAGTTG